CAAAATAACTCACTCACCTATGTTGAATATCTTTTTCTAAGAAAAGTACTTTTTAATTTTAATCTTTAATACACTTTATTTGAGTTAAATCTTTACTTTTCTTTTTGTTTGGCTAGTTTATACATATATTTTTCACCCTCCTTAGTATTTAATCTATTATAAAGATCTTTAAAAGCAGATTTTTTAGCTTCACAGATTGTTGTTTTAGACTCTCTGCGGGTCGTTTGATATTTTTTCCAGTTCTCTAAGCCTTTACATTTAAACCAATTTTTATAACATAACTTCTTATATTTTATCTTTTTTTGCACATTATTATTCCACCACCAACTATTTTTATTTGTAAATATTTTTCCCTTTGATTCTCCAAGAACATCTTTTGCTACATGTTTAATAGCGTTTGATACTTTATCCCACATCACATTTGCTTCTTCATGAATATCCCAAATTTTGAAATCTTGAATTTTACTCATAAAAATAATTTTATGCGTCTTTTAAGTTTGTTCATCTAATTCTACAATCCCGAGTCCTAGTATTCTTTATTTTACAACTTAAAATTTAGAACTAATAAACCATGTTGGGTACTTAAATTTTCACTTGGAATGATCTTACAATTTTTACAATTGCGACGATCTCTTCTTCTCATAAGAAAATAATCAATTTGTGTTTTATTAGATCCACTCTTATAAGTAATAATATGCCATCTCTTTTCTTGAATAAAGTATTAGTAATAACAAAATCATACGCTAAAGCAAAATTTAAAATAGCTCTACAAAATCATACGTTAAAGCAAAATCTAAAGTAGGTCTACCTTCTTCATTAGTTACTCTAAAACCGTAGCCACCATGACTATTTCTGAAGTCTTTTACCACTCTACCGACATGTCCATTAAAATCTCCTCCAATAAAAATTCTTTCTTCAAGAGGTATCATTTGTATTAAGTCTTCTAAGTCATTCCAAAATTTATCTTTAGACCCTGTATCTAAACCTGCTTGAGGAGCATAAGCACTTATAATATTAAAAATCATAGTATCAATGATAATCTTAATGGCTATAATTCTATCTCTAACTCTATTAATTTTTACAACATTATCTTTCAAACTCTTATCTATAATTACATCTACACCATTTCTAATGCGACTCTTACTAGAATATCAAAGTTTAAAACCTAAATTATCAATCTCCTTAGCCTTTTCTCCAACCCACTTAGTTTCTTGAATACATAAGATATTAATTTTCCTATGAATCATAATATCAACTAATTCCATTAATTTGTCATTGAGAGAAAAATGAGATAAATTTAAGATTATTAAAAATGATCTTAATTTATTAGAATTAAATGAAAATATGACACTAAATAGGACGCAATGGAGAAAAAGGATTTATGTAGCCGACCCCACTTATAACATTACGTTGTTGAATTGTTATTATTATTATTTTATACGTAATGTAACAAATTATCTCCTCTAGCAGCTAATGTTATAACCAACATTTGATTTGAAAGGGATAATTACATACAGAGCACCTGAAACATTGCTATTTACAAATCAAGCACCCAAGTAATTTTTTGAATGACTAAACCAATGCATTTACTCGCGCCACAAGAAATATGAGTTGAGATTTTATCATGAATTTCGATATCTGATTGAGAATTTGAAAAATGAATGAAAGAGAGTGCTTAATTTGTAAATAGCAATGTTTCGGTTGCTCTATATGTAATTGACCCTTAGTATTGAAGGAAGCAGCTTACGGCTATTTTTCCATTGTTTCTTTGCCTTATTTTTTTAATTAATATGGATCGTTGAGAATTTGGACATTTAGTTTTTCTCCAGTACTTTTTGTCCTGGCATGAACTTGTGTATTGTGAACCCTATAATACTTATTGTCCATTAGCTCACTGCATTATTGTATAAGAAGAATGGTTTTTACCTATTTCTGCTAAGCTTCAAATGCTGGTTTATTATTAAATTTTATTATTAAATTCTTAAAGGTTAAATTATTCTATTTACTTTTTTGCATTATATTGTTTCTCAAACTGTTTTTATTTAATGCAGTGCCGCTGTGAACTCACAAACCCGGGAAGAGGTTGCCATTAAAAAAATTGGCAGTGCTTTTGATAATAGAATTGATGCCAAAAGAACCTTAAGAGAAATAAAGCTTCTACGACACATGGATCATGAAAATGTAAGTGGTATTTATATTGTTCTTTTCTAAACCCATTTATCATGTAAAATTACATAATCATTTTTGCGACTTTGAAATGTAATGAAATTTGATCTATTTTCCTTTAGATTGCATGTTGCAATACTTGTGTCATTATTAAGGCTGAACCTTGCTATCCTTTAAGGGTGTGTAACGAATTGAATGTTGATTGCTACAGAAAATCAGATTAAATGTTCTTAGTTCATTCTTTTGAGCAATCATCCTGAGTCCCAAATAAATAACTATACTTGTTTTTTTGTTTTGGCTTCTCTTAATATTAGATAATTTTGGATGATAATTATACCTTTAAGCCAACAACATGATAATGTAGGCCTTTACTTATCACCCTGTGTAAATATATGTATTTGTAGTACAAATATTTATAGAGATTTGAGGAAAATTGAATTGTCCAAGGAACTTGCATATGAAGTTCATGTTCTAGTATTTATATCATTTTTGCTGGTTGGTTATGGGCCTAGAATTAATAAAGCCTATTTTGATTTTAAGCTATGTAAGTATTGTCGATTCTTTAATTGGAGGGAATTGACCATAACCAAGAGATAATCAATAATATATAAAATCTCATAACATGCATTGATGCCAAATAGCTAGGGTTGTATACATGTGATCATTGAAGTAGAAAATGTGAACATTATATTTTAAGAAATTACTTATTGAAGTTATAATGAGGAATTTCTTTTGGAGATACATAATGAACAATTTAATGAGTTATTTTGTAGATTCTTTCAAAAAAGTTAGTAGAGGTTACTATGAAGATGATGCATAAGTGTAAAAAGCTTTCGCTCCAAGTAGAATTGGAGAGATATGGGTGATATTGGAGTGGTTTGTATAACAAATCATTTCCAAAAAGCTTTAAATCTCATTGCAGAAAAAGCATTTTCAAATCAATATTCCAAATTAAAGGAAATGATTAGGATTGTGATAACTATAGTGAAATATAACATATGAGGCATATAATGAAGATGTGAGAGATGGAAATGAAAGTAAACCTAGAACAATTATGTTGATATCTAAAATCCAATTTGGTTTTGTGCCAGGATGTTCCATTGTGTGGACACAAATTTGTTCCTAAGGAAACTAATAAAGAGTTATAGGGAGTACCGAAAAAACTTCAGATGATTTTATTAATAATAGATAAATATATGATCTAGTAATACAAGAATTGATTTGCTATCTATTATGGAAAAAAATGTGTGCATGCTAAAAGTTTCTTGAATTAAAGATATGTATGACGTGTATTACAATTAGTCGTGCACTAGCCTAAAAGTTTTTTTATCAAATATGGTTTTCATCAGTGATTAGTACTATCGCTCGATTATAAGATAAATAGCAAGAGAAGACCAACACATGAGGAAAGCCACAAAATCCTCATGCTAGAAAAATGAAATATAAATTACCCATAATATCTAATTCTGAAAGTATAAATTACTAAAATTAAAAAATAAAAATAGAAAATATCAAAAGGAAAATTCCTAAAATTTCGACGCCCCCCTCTCAAGTTGGTGTATAGATATCTATCATGCCCAACATGCTTATAAGTAACTCAAAACTAGGCCTGAAAAATTTTTTGGTGAAAATATTTGCTATTTGTTGTGTTATCGGAGTGAAAGACATGCAAATAGCTCCATAATTAATCTTCTCTTTTATGAAGTGTCTATCAACCTCTACATGTTATGTGTGATCATGTTGCATTGAATTTTCTGTAATGTAGATTTATTGTCACATCACAACTTCATTGAAATGTTTATCGGGATCCATAGTTCTTCAAGAATTCTCTTCAGCCATAACATCTCACATACTCCTTTAGCCATAGCTTGATATTCTACCTTGGCACTACTCCTTTCCACCACATTTTATTTCTTACTCCATCATATAACCAAATTTTCCCAGATATATGTACTGTATCCGGACGTCGATCTCTTGTCAACTACTGAGCTCGCCAAATCGGTATCGGTGTATGCCTTTATGTTCTATTGTGTGGCCTACTAAAAAAGTAAACTTTTATATGGTGTACTTTTTAGGCACTTGAGAATCTTGTTAACTTCTTCAAGATGTTTCCCTAGAGCGAATGCATAAGTTAACTTACCAAACATAAAACAAAGACGATATCTGGTCGTGTATGTGATAAGCATATCAATTTTTCCATCAACTTTTGATATCAAGTATATTCACCGGGCCACCTTCCTTCTCATATCTAGGTTTCTGATTTGGACTAAAGGAGTGTCTACAGGCCTACAAACTCTCATCCCAGTTTTTTTTAGAAGATTAAGAATATACTTCCATTCAGAAAAAAAATCCCTTTCTTTAATTTATCAATCATCATGGCAAGGAAATATCTCAGAAATTTTAAGTCCTTGATCTCAAAAACTGATGAAAGTCCTTAACCAGTTCATATCGTATATACATCATCACATATGAGAATTATATCGTTTACATACACAATTAATATGACTATCTTCCCATCTTTTGAATGTCTGAAGAATATTATATAATCTCCACACTCTAGAATATACCTCTGACCTTTAACAAACAATATAAATATTTCAAACCACATGCTCAGAGACTGCTTCTACCCATATAAGGATTTTATTAGTTTACACTTTATTTTGTTAAACTTCTCACTAAATACTGGAGGTGCATTTGTGTACACTTCTGCTAGGTCCCCATTGAGAAATGTACTTTTTATATCCAACAATTGTAGAAGCCAATCAAGATTAATTGCAAGTGATAGGAAACTTTTATATAATTTAGTTTTGTGATTGGGCCGAATGTCTATAAGTAATCGATGTCATATGTTTGAGTGAATCCCTTGACAACCAGTCAAGTCTTGTGTTGTTCTAGAGACTCATCAAAATTGCCATCAAAATTATACTTGAATGCACATTTGCATTTGACAAATTCTTCTTTCTAGATAGATCAATCAATTCCTAGGTGTCATTTTATTCCATAACTTTCATCTCCTTGAATATAACCTTCTTCCACACAGGAAATTAGAGAGCATCTTGCATAGTATTAGAAATCTCCATATAAAAAAATGTGGTAAAAGTCCAAAAAATGGGTGAGATTTTCATATTACACATAATGAGACGATGGATGATGGTGCTAAACTTCACCACCTTACATACAATAATGAGATGACTTGAATCATTAAATTTAAAATTAGAGCCAGACTCTGGTTCATAACTAGAAGACTCAAAACTCAAAGATGAAGTGGATTGATCATACGGTAAAAGCTCAATGAGGATATTACTTAGAGAATTTATGGATTCTAGATAATGCAAAGGATTACTCTTTCTTTTGAGTTATAATTTGTCACAAGTAGACAATGTCAAATGATACCAATATCGTAGTTTTTTTTTTTTGTTTTCTCTTTGTTAATTGTTATAGGATTATGGATATCATAAGATGGTACTGTAAGAAGATTTAATCCAAACTTGACACACTTTCTTCTAATATAATTTAACTTAAATTTTCAGCTTGAACAATTAAAGTTGGGGAGATATTATTTTGAGTCTTCAGTTTGCAGGAAGTTTTGAAAACCAATAGTCGAATCTTTATTTTATCCCTCCCTCCCTTGAAGTTGATGTGAAAACAAAAGTTGTAATTCAAAAAATATGACATTTATGGAAACAAACATTTTTTTTTAAATATGATCAAAATATTTATACTCCTTTTGGTTAGAAGCATAACTAATAAACACACATTTTATGACTCAAGATTCAGTTTTTCCTTAATTATGATTATGACTGTCAACAAATGCAGTACACTTAGATAAATTTAAAGGTAAAGAAGATAAAAACCAATTTTTGTTGGTAAATTGTATGAAAAACATCAAAGGAGTTCCAAAGTGTCTCAAAGTGTCATGACTCAGCCCGGGACTTTGGAATTAACCAAGATGAGAACAGATAGTCGGACGAGTAGAACTAAGTTCTCTATATTTAGCTATTATTTAACTGTTCAAAGAGCCACTAATTAAATCAAATTAAGGGTCTATTTGGGGTAGTTGCAGCTTATTGAATATTCTGCTAATAAGCTGATTAAAAGTAATCTACTGATAAGCTATGTGCGCTGGCTATTACAAATTTTTATTTTTTTTGGAAAAGTCATACCACAGCCTGAAAGTTGTCACCGCACCTAGATAAGTGCGGTGTGAAAACGCTGTTTTCAGCGTTTTGAAAGCGCATAAGCTGCCAAAACACAGTTTACCCAAACAGGCTAGGTACATTTTCAAAACGCCACCGCACCAAATAAGCTGCCCTAAACAGACCCTAAAGTAGTAAAATTAAGTTTACATTCTTACTGGTTGCCCTCACCTTCTGTAAATATTTTGTCTTCTATCGTTTATCTTTTAATCAATTAAATTAGCCTAAAATGTTAGTTTAATTAACAATAAACTAAACAAGTCAATAAATACTCATATCTCAAACTGTAGTAATAAAAAGAAAAATAAAAATGATATGTATTTCAGTTAAGCTTTTAGTAAATCAATATGAACATTTAAGATGCTATTCAATAAATCTTATTATATTAATTGCATATCAATATCATTTTATATCTATACAACTGTCACAGAAGCACCATCTTAAGATTATATTAATTAAGACATCAATATCACTATTTTTTTCATTTACATGCACGACTACCTTAATGTTCTTCCACTAGTACAATCAATGGGTGACTATCATATTCTATCATGCACATACAAACATCCAATAAAAAATATCACTTTCTAATATCAAGCATTCATTTTTCATTTGCATAGCAGTCAATATTTTTATAAATCATTCAATATTTATGATAATTTAAATAATGTTGTGCAAAAATATGATTTCGACAATATTAATAAAAATTCACTAGAATTCAAAATGTTGAGTTTGCTATAATTTCAATATAACTAATGAGTGTAAATACATATGATTTAGGAGAAACAAAATATTACTATAGTATAAGAATATGAGTAC